GCAAAGTAGCATGAACACTCATTACGACTGCCTTGAAAAAACATATTATGCAAGTCTCACGTATGCCCGGGAATCTCCTTCTGAAGGATTCTTGGATTCTGACCACTCGTGAACAACGCGAAAAAACTGTCAAGACGAAACGGCCCTAATCACAGAAGTGCATGACTTACCTGCGAATATCATTGCACCACACAGCGAGAACACGGCGAACACTGCTCGATTTTTGTCGAATAGTGGCACCATGAAGATGCACATTGCCAGTCCCGCAGATGCGACCGCATTGAAACCCTGAGAAGACTTCAATCAGTGCCGAATGAGGCAACTGGTTTCGCTTCCTTCCACAGTGTTAAGACGATTCATTCAATTGAATTTTTAAGAAACTTTCTTTTTCAAGCGAAATTGGCGACAGGAACGGCGTTAACTAGCAAATCATCTCATCACATGCATCATACTCTGTGGAATATCGGAAATACCAAAAACTCAAACTGTGGGCGGAACTTTCGAGGTAGTTCGCAATTCACTGAACATCCATTTAACTCATGACTCTCCACTACAGGAGTTTAAGGATTAAATTTACTAGCCACTACTTCTCGCAAACCACAGACCAGTATCGAGTATCAACTCTAATGGCCCAGTTCATCCCACCCCTTCCCGTCTCGTGCCTAAGTCTCTAGCCGCTTAGCAGAGATAGCGTAAGCGTTGAAGAGGACAACACATGAAAGTCGCACCAATGCGTGAATCAATGGGCAAGGAAGGAGCCCCGTTTCCCGAGTCATATACCATTTTTCTCGGTTTCCGTCTTTCGTGCATCACTGACACTAAACTTTTCATCGGGGAATTGCCTTCAAAGGAACGATTACGATAAACAGAAAGTGCAATAGGGAGGTATATAAGCAACATGAAGCAGTAGCTTGGTGGTCAAGTAAGCGATGTACAGTGCTTTTACGAGGAAAGGTGCGTTGGTTGCTGGGTAGCACTTGAAAGCGCTCCGCCACAAAAAAGTCCACCTACTAGCTTAGTTGGTGAAGATGAGCTGTGTCGCCAGCAGCGGCCGTGCTGGAGTACTCGAAATGGGCATCGGGATGGTGCCACTAAACGCGCTGCACTATAACTCGTCCATACGTCCGCCGGAGCCCGCCCTTGGACGAAGGTCAACGGCTAAACAAGGGGAGGCCTTTTTTGCGATTTCTAGACGGGCGCCTCTTCTTCTTCTTTTACCCGCCTCTTCTTCTTCTTTTACCCGCTATTTACGTACCATTGAGAAGCCTCATGCCCCATGTAACCTCCCCTCTCCGCCTCCAGAAGCAACCGTAGAAGCTGCTTTTGAGGTGCGGCCATAAAGTGCGCTGACCCTTCCCGTCACTACAACATGATCTGCGAACACCCGTAAGATGTGCGCCTTCTTGATTTTCTGATTAGTTTTTACTTTTGAAAAATTGCTACGTGGTTTCCTTGAGAACTCGTCTTATTATATTCATCTGCAAGAAAGGAGCAATGGGAAACCTTGCAGACGATTGTTTTGTCGATGTCTCTCTTCGTGACCAAGTACGATGCGAACGAAGAAGAGAGCGTTTTTGAGAGGAACAGGCACAGAATTGGCAAGGCGGCGATCAGTCCGTTTTGCGTGGGCGCAAACTCCAATACGTCACGCATGTAGTTGGGAAGAAACTGGAAAATCAGACATTACAGTAAGCCATTTTTGCCCTCTGCTTGAAGATACCGGTTGGCGCGTGCTAAAAAATAAATTTTTCCTAGTTCTGACACTATTCTGGTTTCTACAAGCATTCCTACCTGCAGCATGATAACCAGAGGATACTCGTGGCAGACCAAAGCGAAGATGGATGCCCAAAGAGGGCGCGACCTCAGCATCGCTCGATAGGGTACTCGTCGTGAACGATCTGTCCTTTTGCCAATAGATTCACAGGCAATCCTGTCAATTTTAGCTTTCTTCTAACCGTGAATACTATCAAAAATTTGTGTGGAAATCTGCAAAGAAACCACCTTACCTACTCTCGATGAAATTACGCTCTCTCCCCGAAATGCAGCACTGTTTTGACGGCTTGTCCGCTCCAAATGGTATCCAGAACACTGTGACAAGGATTGATATACAGGCGGAGAGGTAAAAGATCGCTGGCCAACCATCAAGAATGTCCTTTCTTGTACAAAGGTAACCGGCTGTTGGCAAGATGAATAATGTACCTAAAAAGCACGTGCACGTTACAAGGCAAACTCATGGGTAGACCAATGTGGAAGCGTTATCTGCGCTTGATTACTCAATAGAATAGCCTCATCTGGGAATAAAAGTCACAAGGGGATCCTTAGAAACTCTCAACAATTACGGGTGAAAGGACGCTTCATTAACCCTTTGACTACTGGTGGGACACATGTGTCCCACTTGTAGTCAAAGACACTACCACAGTTCAGGAAATATTGAGGCAGGAGGGCTCATTTGATGGCTGAACTTGTGCACATATAGAAGCTTTCTAATTCCTTACTATGACAATTAATCGTCAGAAGCTAA